TACACTTAATAACGTTCTTTGAATGGACGTGTGGTACTCTTTTTTAGAAATAACGATAAACTTAATATCAGGGATATGCTGCATAGTGAATTCTGAAAATGTACTAATTTTCGTTAAAAAGAACAACACATTATTCACGAGGCTCTAAGAAAATGACTTCTAATACCTGCTCTTCGGTATCTACACTATGTAGAATAGTAATAAATGTATTATTTGCCTACGATGAAATGAAACAGCTTCTCTTATGAAATGTACAGCCGAGTTAAACACAATTTAACTAGAATGGCGGCAGAAATAACTTCTGTCCCATGCTACTTGCCTTAAAGTAAACCTTGACGTCTCTGTGTACATTAATCAGTCATCTTTGGCGCAGAAGCGTCTCTTCAGGTCAGTGATGAACTTCGTGACAAACAATTGTCAAAATGATTAAATTTATAACCACACTTCTGTTTCCTTTTGTTGACGGAGGGGGATTCGGAAAAAATTCATTCAACTTTAGTATTACCCGATTTTTTGTTCTTGGCATAGGTAACTTTGAACATAGAAACGTTCGGATATAAAAGCAGCCTCTCTATTGGTCAACTTAATCGCCTTCCAGTTCTCACACGGTTAAAGCCTGGACAATTTTTTTTGGGAATTACGGCACAGTTCGGGACAGGGAACATGTCATTCACGGGAATGGCGCGAATTCTGGGACACCCTGTATACGGGGGTTTCGGGAGTCCCAAAAAAATAATAAAAAAATTCTTTATAATGTAGATTAGGAAAAAAACGTAATTTTATAAAAGTAAAATTGGCAACATTGCACACACCTAATGCGTGAATACCTCCGGCTTATTTTCTGATTGCTTAGTAACGATGGCGACTGAAATCCACCTTCGCTTTATATCAGGCAAACATTGTTGTCAAATGGAATTTTATCAAATTATTACAAAAACAACACAACCATATCTTTTTACATTCTAACTGAAATAGTAATTAAACATGGTCATGGGCGAGAAAAATATTAACTAAAAATTTTATTACTAGTTATTGTGATAATGAATGAGTTGTTTAATTGTTAAACGTTGCAAAAAAACCAATTTTAAAATCATTATAACTCCACCAAAATGTGAGAACGATTTTTTTTACTATTTTTCCCAGACTCACCAGTTGATTGTTAAGAGCGTAGCGGCGAGTTAATCCGCCATTTTCCAGACACCCGGTATAATTAATATTTTCTAAATTTGCTTATATTCTCAGAAAAATTAATAACTGAGTTGTAAAAAAATAAATATCCAATCAGATGTAGGAATTTAACTCGTTACTATGGAAATATACAATTTAACACCTTTTAAATTGAACAGGTTTTTACAAATTTAATAGGGGCAAAATCAGTCTTTTCTTGGCCAGTACTAGTCCCGCCCACCCGCCCCTATTTTCTCAGAGGATATGTCATCTGCCAAAATAAGACTTATCTTAGCAAATACTAGCAAGTACTACCCTCTGAGAAAATTAAGAGCAGGTGGGCGGGGCTAATACTTGCTAACATAAGTTTTATTTTGGCAAATCACATATCCTCTGAGAAAATATGGGTGGGTGGGCGGGGCTAGTACTTGTTAAGATAAGACTTATTTCGGCAAATAACATATCCTCTGAAAAAATAGGGGGCGGGTGGGCGGGACTAGTATTTATTAAGATAAAACTGATTTTCCCCTTATTAATCTTGTAAAAACTTGTGAAATTTAAAGGTGTTAAATTGCAAATTTCCATAGTAATGAGTTAAATTCCCAAATCTACCCGAAATGTGCAAAATATTATGAGTTTTTACTTGTGATTTATCATTGCATTCATATTTTTTAGATTTGCTAATACAGGTGATTCAAAAAAATTAATAAATATGTCAATTTATTTTATTGATTAAATCAGGAACGGCTCACTCCATTTTCTCAGAAAATTTTGGGAATATAATACTGTTATTTTTAGTACTACACAATCCAAGTTGATATACGTGTGTTGATGACGTCATCAAATAATTTTGTAAAGTAAAAACTCAACGCAAAAATACCGGACATGTCACTGTACTTTAGGTGCGAGGGAAGTTCTGTGGAAACAACTTTCGACCAATTTTCTTAGAGGATATGTCATTCGCCAGTCAGTCTTATCTTAGCAAGTACTAGCCCCACCCGTCTGTCCCCTATTTTCTTAGAGAATATGTTATTTGTCAAAATCAGTCTTACCAGATACTAGCCCCGCCCACCTGCCCTCTCTTTTCTTAGAGGGTATAACATTTGCTAAAATCGGTCTTATCTTAGCAGGTACCAGCCCCGCCCACCTACCCTCTCTTTTCTCAGTGGGTATGTCATTTGCCAAAGTCAGTTTTATCTTAGCACGTACTGATGACTAACTTTAACAAAAAATGACCAAAATTTGGAAACATTACGAACTTACTTATATGCACAAAGCAGGAATTTTGAACATCTTCTCTAATGTTTAGTTCGTATTGTACTCCCAGTTTAAAATAGTTTTTATGAAAGGTCCATTGTGTCGAAGTTGATGATGGGGACAATCGAGTAAATCCCTAGCCAGAAATAAGAAAGTGGTCGGTTCCTTGCAAGGAACTCATATTGTGCGTCGTGGGGTAATAATGAGCTGATAATATTTATTATCTTGTCATAAAAACCACTTTAAGCTGGGAGTACAATAATGTTTTAATAGATTTTTCTTTTGTAGGTTTTGTTTTTGTTTATAATTTATAAATGCCTCATTAAAAGTTTTTTTTATTAATAAAAAATAACGGCTTGTTTTATTAATATTAATTCACAACGATTAATGACTACTCGTTGTTATGGTTATTGTCCTAAAAAATAATAATAAAAGGTGGATTTCAGTCACCATCGTTACTAAGAAATCAGAACGCATTACGTGCGTGCACTGTTGCCAATTTTACTTTTATAAAATTACGTTTTTTTCGTAATCTATATCATAAAGAAGTTTTTATATTAATTTTTGGGACTCCCGAAACCCCCCTACATAACATACTGAAGAGTTAATCCGTCATTTTACAGACACCCGGTATAATATTCCTAATATGTATATGTACAAACATAATTTTAATCTTCCGACAATCGGTTCAGAATTTCGGAGATTACTATTATTAGACAGACAGATGACAGACAGACGGAAACGGGAAGCCATGTTTTTCTAGGGTTCATGAAACGTGAAGAAAACATGAAAGTTGCAGGTCGCCCGATGGACTCGTTTACAAAAGTAAATCTGACTGTGTGATAATGAGCACTTTTCAATACATACACCTTTTGGCAACTAAAAATATAAAAATCAGGAATCTCTCGATTAACAATGGAATTTCTTATTTAACAACGAAGTTTTCGTGGCCACTCGACATCTTAACTCCATGCAGTATCAACTTAGTTTACCTTAATTTTACCTCATACCCTGCAATACGTTTACATATAAAAAAAGTAAAAAACCCAACGTTAAATAAGAAATTATTTATTAAAACTTGGAAGAGTTTGTACGGTGTTCTATTAACCACCACCAAATTTTGAGTTTCACATGTGAAGCATGTCAATCAAATTCAAAGTCAATAAAAAAAGACATCTAAATGGCGGCACAATAGTAAAAACTCTCTTTTCTGACGTCTGTGGAATAAGAACATTTTGTGGTATTGCTTTGTTCGACGTTGTGGATGAATACTTTAAGAATAAGTGAAGAAACTTAAAATCCCCGACAGAGAAAAATGAACCCTTAAAAAGTCTAAAATAAATTAAGATTCGCTGCGACGGTCGACGAGCTATCGGGAACATAACAATTAAGAACCATCCCGATTAGACCAGCTTTCACCAGAAAAAATCGTATTAAAATCGGTTCATCCATTCGGGAGCTATGGTGCCACAAATAGACACACAGAAAGACAAAGGTTTCGTTTTTTCGACGGGGGTTAAAAATAACTGGCAACGTGATTTTTTGATCAACAACGATATTGGAATTTTGTAATTTGTTCCGTGTTTATTTTCCGTTTGGAAGATCAGTCGTTCGTCCAGAAAGAAAAAGCGTTTCCTAGATGGTGGGATGGTTAATTAAAGGAAAGAACGTGACATATTGAAATATTACTACTTCAAATTTATTGAACTGATATTTCAGACATTATTTCTCTCAACCTTGACGTGTTCGGTAATTTTCAAAGACAATCACAATAAGGACATAATTTTTGCAGAAAAACATATTTCCAACATCTAACGGGATCGGTTTTACTCTTTCGAAAATAAATTGTGTTTGGTCCAATTTATTCACATTTTTGTTTCTGCCACATTTTTATTAACACAAATGCTCAAAGACAAAAAACTTCAGATCAAGTGTTTGTCTTGACGTATTTGTCCATTTATAAAAGTACCAACACTTTAAGAAGCAAAATCGATCTATCCTTTTCTTCCGCAAGGTAAAAGTGGCAGTTCATCGTAGTCCCAAGTAGTTTTTTCGCTCCCTGAAATCGACTTTCGTGTCAACTTGTGTCAGTCCAAAAAGGACGCTGCAAAACCATACGAGAAAGGTTTCAAAAAACCTCCTGTTTTTTCTTAAGTTTGCCAACTACAAGTAACTTACGATCCAAAAAGTGTAGTTCGAGAACGAAGAAACAATTGCGAAGGTAATATAAATGAAGAAAACAGAAGACAGGAAGAACGAAGAAGAAAAAACGTGTACCAATCGATGAGGGTGTAAGAAATTGGAACCTGCGCAAGACCTACCTACCTACCCTACTTTTGGGGAAAAACACAGTGATATACAGTATTTGACTTCACGAAAAAATAGGCTTGTATAAGCCTGAGCTGACCTGACCTGGCCTGGCCTGACCAAACCTAGCCTGACCTGACCTGTATAAGCGTGAAGAAGAGAACAATCTGTGTACTTGAGTCCAAAAATTGAACTGGCAGCTTTAAAGCTTCACAAAAATATAAACATTCTGGCTTCTTCAAGTACCACTTTTAATACATCAACGTTACCTGTTCATTCTGCATTCCATCCGCAAACGCAATCAGCGCCAACCTATCCGGATGGTGCAAAAGGGTAGCGTGGTCGCTCAAATCCGCCCTTTGTACCGGCGGCGCGATGGCCACAGCCCTCGACAACGATTTGCGTCTCCTGCACGTCGTAATCAAGCAAATCACCAACAGCAATCCCAAAACTCCGGCCCCCGTGGCCCCCGAAATCAGCACAGCGTTGATGCTGTTCACCTCCACTGCAACAACAACCGTTGATCAAATCCCCAATTAGTCAAACCGACAACCCTTACAATAGTAATTATTACTGGGTGTGTGGTAGCACGTGGGCGGCTCCATCGGTAGCCAGCATCCTCCCGGCGAGCAGGCCAAAATCTCGTTTCCTTGCAGAGTGTAGCCCGGCAGACACTGGTAGGAAATCTGAGATTTTATCGGATACTTGGTGAAAGATACATCGTGGAATTCGGGATTCAAGTTATAAATGACAGCGTAGGAGACCGCCGGAGGTGGATCGCAGTCGTGTGCCGGCACTGAAAATGTGCCGTTTCACTTTTGATAATAACATGGCTTGTGGGAATTTACCGCAGATGGGAGTGCTTCCTACCCATCTTCCTCCGATGCACCGTAATTTTCCGGGCTGACATGGAGCTTTCGTGTTCCTGTACTTGCTGAAGCAGTGGATTTGGACGACGGTGCCGGAGATCGCCAGATTTTCGGACTGATAACCCTGGACGAGGTTTGTGTAACTGTGAGGGACCGTAGGCGAGGCCGGACACGGAGCGTCAGATGGATCTTCTGGAAAAAAAACGAAAACGGTGATTTAATCAGGCGTAAACACTTTGGAATTTCGTGAGAATTTCGGTTCCATTATAAACTCATTAAGGGATTGATGAACAACGCTTGATTGTGTCTAGACGAATCTACAAAAGCACAACAGCATAGTGACAATAAAAATCTGCAAACACAATTTGAATCAATGATCCCTAGCTTTTGAAGCAAGTCGGGATGTTTTTGCCAATAATGGTTTAGCGGCTAGCTTCACGGATTTAATATTTTTTCAGAGATGACGTCATCAACTTTCCGTAGGGGGTGAATAAACAAATTTTAATTGATCTAAAGAGGAAAGCTGCATTTTCGCGTTCTGCAATATCACGAAAGCATAAAATTAGGCACTTAACCCAAAGACTATACGACAGGTAAGTAAAAAGAAACCACGGACTTAATCAGGCGTGAACACTCTGGAATTTCATGAGAATTTTTGTTTCATTATAAATTCATTACGGGGATTGATGAGCAACACTTGATTGAATCTATTGTCTCGATAAATTCACGTAAGCACAATAACACACTCGATAAAAAAATAATAAAAGTTGCTGACACATAAATATTTTTTAAATATGGGGGTTCCGACTCAAAAAAAATCGCCAAAAACTGTCTGTTGCTTGCCGCCATCACATCTTGAATTTATGAAACCGTCGGGATATATTTCAGTTAATACAAGGTAAGAAACAGGAACACTTCCAGTACGGGAATATTAATAATGAATATTTTGGGCCCTCCCACGTTGAAAATGTATCATAAGCAAGGTAAGCGGCGGTATCAAAGAGCGAGGCGGCGCTTATAAAGCAAACTCGAGCAAAGATAGAGTACAACAGCGGGGGCGGACATGTTCCTTTATTTAGGGACCGGCCAGTTTTAACTCGTATCGTGATAAAGGAGGTGCGAAAAATCATTTCGGTATAAAATGCTCCCTTGAATTTTAAATATTCTTCCGAACGTATTAATTACATCTCTCCGATTATTATTAATTGGCTTTATTCGTAGTGTGTCTTGATGTCTAAATGTAAAAGTAATCGCTTCGGAAGTTTGGAAATTATCTGGCTAACAATATCATTAACACCTAGACGAACTGTGGACTTCCATTTTTCTATTCTACGAGCCGTGAAAGGCTAAATAAACATAAAATTGGTCATTCGTCAGAACGACTCCGATAGAATACTCCTATTCAATGCGATAAATTGCTCCGCAAACCTAGTGGGTGAACTTAACGAAACTTTATGATCTGAAATCGACCGATTTTTATTGCTTAGCGATCCATTTGTGGCATGATTCATAAAAGTGAAGACAATTTCAATAACACACAAGGTACAAATAATAGGTCATTGTTGATCTTATTTATTTATCCACACAAAACATCGCTTGATCTACTTAGAAGAACGTCTAGTAAACGAAGTCGACTTCCTGTCGCGCCTTAAAAAGATTACGGACATATGTACGGATGCCCTAACGCATAAGAAATATAAACATAATCAGCCAAAACATGCTCGAAAAATACAAACAGCTCCAAAACAATCTACCCATCGGCGAGTTATTGGCTTTCATTTTTGTCATACTTTTGACCCTTGTCCCAAATCCGAACAATAGCCCGCTGATTACAAAAACAGGCACCGGGAAGCAAGAATTTCTAAACTGGTCCCATCACAAGAACGTTTCGTTATTCGTTGACATGTTTGGTCTAATGAGTGGTAATTATGCGGTGTCTAACTTAATTAAAGCTCGCGTCTCTATAACGTATTGATGATCATGGAATCGGACGTGGGAGTTTGGCGATGGAACTTTTCACTCTTCATGAAGGTCGAGTTAATTACCCATCCCATCTGGAACACGTCCTAGCACGACGATTCCTTTTGTCAAACACCAACGAAATGTTAAATCGTCAAAGCAGCGCTCTCCAAGCGATGAAGTAATGGCCTTTCTTTTGAAGTTGAGTATTTAATAGATGACATACAAGTTACATTGTCTAATTATGTTTCCCACTGTAGATAGCCATCGAGATGAGGACAAAAACTTTTAGCGCGCGACTCCACGAGGCTCGATGATGACCTTACATAATCAATTCATTGTGTAAAAGAATGGTGATTATCTCGCGCCTTTTGTATTACCCGCTATTGAACCGAAGCGATACTATATAATTCTTTGTGAAAAGAATGACATCAATGGAAGACACAAATTTTTTGATACGAATTGAAATCACATCGGATGCGCATTCACTTTTATTACAAAACGTGTCATATCGCAATGATCAGAAATTAAAGACAACATATAAGGGTAAATCCATGTTGGGCTGGCCGCATGCGTTCCTCCAGAAGATAATATGAAGATACAGTTATTAAGAACACATGACATCGACTTTTGGGTTTTTGTACATCAATTAACTTACTTCAAAGTACATAAATATTTTTAAAACATGGTATTAACGGTTATTTTGAAAATTATATATCAGAAGAAACGACCTTAAAATGGACAATGCACGCAACGAAAAACAGGCAGCGACAAAGAAAGTAAAATCGACAAATCACTCAGATCGTTCAACAACAGTCCTCAGTTTGCCAAAGTTCAAGTTTTGAGTTGTTGGTGAAAGTTGCGGGTCAATTAAATGTTTCTTCCGTAAGAAGTTATCTATCGGTAGATCACTTATACAAAAAAAAAACAACAACAAAACCCCATGAACGTTTGGAAAAAAGAATCACCACGCTTGCTGCACATTTAATAACCATTCACTTTCTAAAATCGAATCGAGAAATGACATTTTTTTTTAATTTAAAAAAGTCGACAATGTTTTTACTAAGAATTATAGAGTTTTGTAAGCTGAAAACAGTGGTGAAAATCTTGTTCCAAAATTTCCAAAAATAATTGAGAATTGGTTTTTAAAGAAACGTGATGAAAAATTTCATGAAAATAAAAAACCAATTTACCTTAAATAATACTTAAATACAGCAATTAGTCTAAAAGCAGTTTGCGTTCATTTATGCAGAACACAGCTGCGATTTCGTTAAAAAAATATGTGGAGTATTAACTTGCATGTAATCACGAATCTAAAGTAAAATTTAATTTATTAATATAATAATGAAAGTATTGCTTATTACAACATAATTGGTCATTGGTGGTCAAATTATATATAATTTTCAAAAAATATGAACGTTTTATATTCATAAATTGATTTTTAATAGTACGCTTATTAAGTAAAATTATCTTTTATCGAAAAGAAATAATAAGCAAGTAAATAGTTGGTTAAGATTTGTTACCACCTAATTAAATGGATTTTTAGAGAAAAAAATAAAAATTGTAACGTCTAGCCTATAATTTTCCTTATAATTTCCTTACTTGAGAACGAACGAAATGAGTTTGTTAAACTTTCCTTCATAAATGGACAAACTGCGAAATTGGTCTAAATCATTCAGACAAAACTTCCCTTAACAGTCAATTCCGTCTCTTAAGGCCAGTCAGAATGTAATATCTGCGTTATTAACTGAACGAAATTATGGTCGATTTTTTTGTTAGAAAACATACACAGTAAAAAAAAGTGTCGTAGAAGTTGCTGACTTTCATTTTTACTATATCTCAGTCCCAACAAATAAAGTCAAAAATAGACCTACTACGATTTCTAAAGTTTTACAAGCTGAAAACAGTGGTGATAACCCCGTTCCAAAATTTCCATAAATAACTGAAATATAGTTTTTTTTAAATACGTGATCCAAAAATTTCAACAAAATTAAAAAATATATGATAATAAATTGTTTAAAAAAAACTACCTTCGCAGTTATATAGTGAAAGCTATGGGCAAGTTACGTTTAAAATTTCATAACAATTAGTATGTTAATAATGGAGATTCCACTCTGAAAATATATTGACAACACCATAAAAGCCAAACGTAGCGATTCCTCTTAAACTATTTTTAGAGCATGTACGAATTAATCGGATTTACATTTCAGTCCGTAGTAGAAAAAATTGGTCCAAGGTTATTTAGAATCGCAATCCAACAAATCCCGATCCTTCGAAAAATGATTTAAAAATTTTTATTTTGCGATTTTTATTTTTTGATAACCTCTATAAAATAAGGGGACTAACGAGAAAAAATGTACTCTTAAAAAACATGTTTAACTTGGAATGTTTATGGTCAAACTTGGAAAGAATTCGACTAAAAGCATCATCATTATGTTAAAATGAATTTTGGTAAGGGCGGATTCATAAACATACGTTATTCGTATACTATTTTATAAAAGCTATGTTGTTTATTGTACAAAATTTTGAGTAGATGTCATCACGTCGTTGGTGGAGATGATTAGACAAATTTTGGTTAGCATTTTACCATCTACATAATATACCTAATATACATACAAAATTTGACAACAATCGATGACTTCGGAGATCATCTGTTCAACAAAATCCGGACAGACGGCAGACAGACAGACGGAAACGGAAGATCTATTTTTTCGTACTTTAGGGACCATGACACATCAAAAAAATATAATAGTAGCCAGTCGCCCGATGGACGCGATTACAATACTTCCTTAGCTTACTTAAATGTTTGCCCATAATAATATTTTCTGGGAACATTAAACATGTTGTTTGGCCACCATTTTCTTTTGTTATACAATTATAGTTTAAAAAAATAAATTAATTATAGATAAAATTTATAATCCGATTAAACCTGTCTTTCAATAAGATTGTTGACAAACCATGGGACAAAGGTACAAAAAATTTAACGAAATAATAATTGAGCGAAAGTTTGACACTTGACTTTTATGAAAAATTGTTACAATATTTAGTCGTAGTGTGTTTTATAACGTCTAATTTTAATCTGTTATTAATTAGAAAGTGCAATGTTATTAATTTTTGTTTTGTTGTTGTTTTTACGACAGTAAAATTCGATAATGATGAAAAGTCTTAACAGATAACAAATAACCTCCAAATAAATTGGCATAATTTTATAACACTAAATAACGTTCTTAAGCTCTATAATTTCGTTACAACGAAACAATTTTTTTGAGTTATTCACTTGACTTGGAACAACTTAATTCTAACTGTCAACACAATGACACAAGTATTTGTTGTTGTAAGAGTGAAATTAATAAGAATCGATCAAACCATACTTGTAATTTGACCCGCTGACCACTCCACACTAATTAGTAACTTTAGGAATACACGAGACACTTCCATGGCAACCGAATATCAACCAAAGTGTCAACTGGTTTCTGTTCCGGTACAAACTCGGAAGCGTCACAGCGTTCCACAAAGCCCCAGTTTTCATGCTCTTAATAATGTACAGTCCATTTTCATCACGTACTGCGGGACTGAAAAACAAGATTAATTTTGGCGCTTGCTTAATTACGTTTTGTGTGCTCGTCGGATGTATGTTGTAACTTTTTTTTAACACAAAAAAAGGTTTTTTTCAGGAAATAACCATGACAAATATCAGTCGACATCTAAGTTCTCGCCGACAAAATTAATTAATTAGCTCATTCAAGTGCGCTGCTTTACGCATTTTTATGGATCAAAATTCCTCGGCTAACGGCTCGCGACATCACTGTCAGATTCATCCGCAAAATCGCTAAAGAGCGCATGTGAAAAAATTGAGAACTTTATTTTTAAGTTGGTGCTTGCCTTTGCTTCCACCGCCAATTAAATCCTTCCCGAAAATACAAATATTTATCGATATAGAGGAATTATTTGATCCGGATCGTGACATTTCGTGCTACACATTGTCATTTCGTCACAACACGACATGCGAATTCTTACATGACTCACATAAAGTTACGGATTTACCCATAAATTAAAGCCATAAGTTAAAATCAATTAAAAATAACTCCGCTGAACCGTATGACCCATAATTAACCAACATGAAATAAATCATTAGCATATAATGCTAAAACTGTTAACAAGGAATAATTTACAGCACTGCAAGGAACGCATATTACCAGGAGGGACATTTTGCATACGGTAAATCGTGTACGCAATAAACTCAACATCGCATTTTCTAATACCCAATACGCCCAGTTCGGCGATAAAAAATTAATTAAGCGAGGCGAGACGGCATTGTTTCGAAATTTCGGGGTCACCTCCGCGAATATTTACTCAAAAAACACGGACCAGACTCGTGTTTAAAAAAAAGTTCCGTGGAACGTTCGTCTGACTGCTGACCCTACAGTACCTGTCGCTAAATGTATGATTTTCACTTTTCGAGCACGTCTCTGACGACTGAAAAAGTCGATGGTACCAATTAACATCAGCTTAATTGACATCTTGAATGGCACTTCTAATTACGATTTGCATAACTGATAAGTGTTTCTTCGACAAACACTACGGTTTGTTCTCTTGACACTTTTTTTTTCGGTAGTCGGATACGCGAGGGGTGTTTGTACCAATTTGTTTATGTATAACGCCGTAATTACATCGTGCATGAAGTTAATGCATTCCCTCAGCTGCTGACGATGGTAATCGAGCACTGGAGCGGATATTGCAATTTGCAAGTACAAAATTTGCAATAAATTTTCATTACGTTATGGCACGAAATTGACTTTCCATAACACTTTAGCTGTCTTCTTTTAAAAACCCTTCTAGCAAAACGCTAAAAAGGTTTAGTATACAATGAGAACTGGATCAACTGTCGGGCTATACTAGATTGAAAATATTTGTATCTACACTGTGTTCTAGACAAATTAAAGGAGAAAACAATATTACGTAATATCAATTACACCATTCCAAGTCATTATAATATTGTATGGTTTGAAGCTTTCGTTAATTAAAAAAGATATTTAACGTTCTGTAAACCGGCTACACTAGTGGTGATTTATCAATACACAAATTAATTGAACCGCGTCAGGAATTTGTCAAAATATCATCATTGTTTTGGAAAGAGATCACACTATTTTTCACAAAGTATCAAAAATGTTTCTTCATCCATTAAATTAAACATGATTGACAATTACACTTTAACAAAATTCAATCAATGTTACGGTCGTACCAAAATTTCAAGAAGTCCCTTTATGTAGACTCCAAAAATTTTTATTAAATTTCACTCTATAAATTTACATAGAACAATTCGTAACGCTAAAAATTGTTTATAAAAAAGTATCTTACGCTTTAAACGGCAAATGAGATGTGCTTAACAAAATTCTAGGGTGACGTCATCGAGTTTTGGGAGGGGATGAATACACAGTTTTAGTTATAATTTTATTATTGCAAGTTAACATCGACCGCCTCACCGCACGCAAATCGTGACATATATTTTAATAAAAGTTTATTCAAGTTTATAAGGTGGGTTTAAAAATATGCATTTTCATATGTACAATGTAACACTAATCGTAGTGTTACATTAATAATTGTATCTCCCGAATTTTAGACGAATTACGTAAAACATGTCTGAAATAAGCAATGAATACAACAATCTAACTTTCTGAAATATTTTTGTATTGTATTACTCAAGTACAAGTGATACCGCATTCAGAAAACGTCAAATGTTTTTTTGAAAAAGATAAACAAATTTTGTTAACTGTTAACGTTTGGAAATTCCTAAATCTAAACTTATTTTTAGGACAACTCCAAGACGTAAAATTAAAAATAGAGACTAATCATTAAAACACCGGTAATTGAGCTCGTTCTGACGCACACTTAAAATAACGTTTATTTAAAATTTTGAGATCTTGGTTATAGTTTTTCGACTTTGGCAACTAATCTGAAAGTATATTTCATTTTCAAAATACTCGGTACAGTAGTTCAGGAGATTTTTTATCTAATAAAATAAACAAAATCCGGAAAAAAGGAACGCGAACTTCGTATTACAAAAATTGTGACTGCATGTATAAATATAACGGGTGTTCAAATGAAAAAGTCATCAAGTCGGCGTCGTCTTTTGATAGAAGAAAACGTGGCTAAAACGCATGCGTTTTATTAATCCATACTGTTGTGCATAGATGACCTATTAAACGAAAAAGTTAGGTTAAATAATAGAAATACTTCAAAATGTTTACAAAAATCGAAGTTAACTTGATGACTTTTTCAATTGAACACCCGACACATTACACAGTTACAATTATTATTTATTGCGTTTTCACGTAAAAAATACTCTTCATGTCACGTAGTTTTTATAAGCTGCATAAATACTTCATTAACTACGTTCAGAACGTACAAAACTACTCAGTAAAAATTTTTAACTTTATTAGCTTTAGTCTGGTGTAATTTTAACTTTCCAAGTTGGCTTTCAGGTGTCGTAAATGCCTGACACTTTTTGCATACAAATGATTATAATCACGGCTGCCTTTAGGGTTAATACATTTTTTGGCCTTTCATGACACGACACATCTAAATCACTTGTAAATCTTCGTTTCAACAATGCCGCGAATAATTATGGAAGCACACATATGAAATTAAAATGCTTACAGTAACAATCGAAAACGACGTAAAGCTCCTTTTCCACCTTATTTTCCGGAAAAATTTATTTTTACGTCCATCAAGTTCCATTTTCTTGATTAAAATACTTAAAAAGAAAACAACATTATCTGAAAATGTAACATTTTGATTGTAATAAATAAACGTTAAGCGTTGCTGCATTAAAAAAAGATATAAGACACCCCCGTCTTATTTAATAATTTAGAGCTACTTTGATTGTTCTTTTTTACAATATAGCGCGCTACCTTAATTTAACTTTTATCTATCTAGTCACAAATTGGCCTCGACTTCCATTATCAAAACGACGCCAAAGATTCAATCAAATTCAATGCCTTGAAAAAAAATCGACGAGGATGGGATTCGAACCCACGCAAGCAGAGCTCAAATCCAACGCCTTATCCACATGGCAACAAAAACTTTTGTAACGTATTTGTGACAAAAATCAAGAGGACTCATAAACTGCAGGTACAGGAATATGTTATTTTATAAAATTTAAATAGGTTTGAATAGGCACAATTTTAAGGTGACGTCATCTTGGTAGGATGATCAGACAAACTTCATCTACAAGATATTCCTAACATCCATCTATGATTTGACAACAATCGGGAGATCTACTTTACCGTACTCTAGGGGTCACGAAATGTCGAGAAGCATTATATTATTTTTTAGGCTTACGCTAGTGAAATAAAAAATTAATAAAAATTATCTTCCTGAAAAATATAATGCATCACTGTATTCTGAATGCGTTTAATTTCTGTGGGCACTACAATTCAGCAATCGTCCATAACATTAAAAATTCAAGGTTATTTTGTAATACTGTTCAATATAAACGAAAATTATCATAAAACCATTGTTTGAAAAACCATGTGGTATTATTAAATTTGTAAACTACAATTTCATGCAGTATTTCTCAAAAACTTGTAAAATAAATCTTTTACTTTTCAATGATATATTTTTTTTTATTGTTAAGCACATTTTCGAAAAGAATTAAGATATACATCAAAATCAATACCTGTATCCCTATAAAATATCCGTGACATCCCGACACGTCTTGATTTTTTTTTACAAACTTACCAATTCATCATTTATTTATTTCCTGCACCATATATTACGTCCATGCACGTATTCAATCAAAATTTCATTAAATTTTCATTAAGTCTGAAACACTCGATTACCAAAAAAACAATGCCAACGTAGGAAGTGGTAATGTTACACGTTGATGAGTAAATACGAGTTTAAGGTGTTGCCGATGGAGTGGGTTATTCAAAACATACACGACAAACACATAAGCATAATTTATTCAATCCAACAGCTTTGTCTCTTTTTATATTGTCACAATTGATTACAATAATAATACAGATGTTGCTAATGTATAAATAAAACTAAACATCTAAACCTAAACGATGGCTACTGATATTTGGTATTTGATACCTTGCATTGGGTAAAAATTAATTACTTGATAGATATGGCTCAATGCCAGTTAATAATCGACATTAAATGCTCCTTATGTTCTAGTGTGTCGTATTCAGTACATGAGAGAAATCAATTACATTTTTGCCATTCTGGAAGAATCTCACTAATCATAATCCAACGCAAACACAATAAGTCTTTTGTATAACAATTTAACACTTACAAATTATATAATTTATGCAACTGCATAGTAGAGCCATTTTTTATTATGTACACAAACTTAAGACAAAATAAATAAACCAGGAACAAGTAGACATATCACTTTAAAATTAAAAAAATATATGCACAGACAATGGACTAGCTCTAATAAGTAGAAAAATAATATTTTTGTTCATATTTTACAAACTTATAATAAATATTACAGATCTTCGTCTGAGGAATGTACAAGTTTCTTAAGACAAAACTAAAGCCACTTAAAAGAATTTTGTTAAAAAAACCAAAGCTTTCCTACATTATCTTCAGCATGGTTTAACTTAGCTGGTAGTTACTCTTGAGTAAGGTTAATAATTAAAGTTAAGTTTTTGAGTACTATGACATTGCACTTTAAGTTACCTATTAAACCTTCATGGTTGTACCTAATGCATAGAAAAGACGTAAACAAAACAATAGAAATATATATACAAACAGTATCCACATAAAAACCTAAGCAATAATTTAAAAACCCAATAAATAAAGCTTTGGAACAATATCATTATATACAAAATAAACATTAAAAAATTCGCTAAAGCCTTAAACATCACTACAGATCTCCGAACGGATCAAAGCTGACTTCCTGTTTGGCGGGTTGTGTCGGTGGCGGCTGCGCGTTGGCCATTTTTGGACTACCTTGCACGGGCACTTGCACGCCGCCCATCGGATACTGCATCGGCTGCCCCATCATCATCATCGGCTGTCCCATCATGGGCTGGCCCATCGGCTGCGCCATTGGTCGGTAGGACGCCGCGGTGGTGGCGCCCATCGGTTGCGGCTGCCACCCGCCCGCGCTCTTTGGCTGATTCTTCGGCGAGTTCCATTGATTGGACCGATTCCCTGAATCCATCGTTAGATTTTCCACTAGCGAAGTCAGACTGCTTTCCAGGTCACCGGTTAATATTTTAGAAGGCGGCGGGGGTCTCTGGGGTTGGGCAACGGACTGGGCCATTACCGGGGCTTGCTTGGAGGTGTCAGCACCGATGGGATCAAAAACAGAGGGTTCGTTCGTGTTGAAGAGCCCGCTCAGATTATTCGTGGCGAAAGTGGTCTGGGTCGGCGGCGACTGAAATGGGGCGTTCGACGGAAACCCGTTGGCCCACATGTTGGCCGTCGACGCCGCGGGGGCGGTCGAGGCGGGGGCCGTCCCGAATAGATTCCCGTTGGAAACGGGGGCGGCGGTCGACGTGGGGGCTGAAAAATCGGCAAACGGATTACCTAGCGACAGCAGATCGTCGAGGGCGTTCGTCGACTGGGCGGCGGGCGGCGGTGCCGACACTGTCTCGGCGCCGAAAAGGTCCAAGATCGGCTCCGTTTTGATGGCGGGTTCTTCGCTCAGGAACGGGTTGGTGCTGGCGGCGGTCGGCGAGCCGACGCTGGCTTTGTATTGGTTCAAGACGGCCTCTTCCTCTGCGAGCGCCGCTTGCTGGAAGGAGTCGTCGACGGCGGACCCGAAGGCGTTCGACGTGTTTGACAGGACTGACACTCCTGACTTGAGATTTTTTTGGTTGCTTGCGGCCGTTGGTGTGTTGCCTTCTAAAGACGCCAGGTGCTGTTCTAGAGCATCTAGTAGGCTGTTGGGTGCCCTAGTGAGATCGGGTATGTCGCCTTTGTCGATTCCAATGTTTTCGGCGACTTTGAGGAATTCGCCCACGCGATCCATTCGGATAAGGAACTTCTTGTATAAGTCTAGCGCCTCCCGGCACTGTTTTTTGTTCATTTCGAAGTACTTTTCTAACAAATTAATAATACCGTCGTTATAGCAAGCGAATAATCTGATGAGATCACGAAATAAAAGCATGAAACACATGTTTATGACTCCGTTTGTGAGATCATTTGCAGTACAGTCGAATTCTAAGAGAGCATCTAACTGATTCTGGAGTATTGGCAAGGTTTTTAAGAGATTCTCTGAATTCATGGTGCGCAAAGTGCCTTCTTCTTTCCCTCGTTTCACTTTACAAAAATCAAAAGCTACGGCTCTATATGAAAGCGCTTTTTCGTTTAAATATCTAGCGTATCGACGAATAAACGGTGACATGTCATAACCGGTCCTGGCCCCTACTGCACTCTGAACGCCCGTTTTATCTACAAAATTTGATAATTGAAAAGACACATTGCTCGAAGCCAAATATTGGGTGAATCTTTCGTTTCCGTAACACATCAAGTGGTGCGTTGTTATCAACGATTTGTAAACTACCACCCAACTCGTGTTCTGTGACCTTTCAATGAGCAGATTGGCCATTTGTGGTATCGACACGTTAGGCTCATTTGTGCAATGGACTAAGTAATCTAAGTGTTTTTTCTTAGGGCCCAAGAGTTCCTCGGTTGTGGCTTTACATACCGATTTGGCTAAACCCTGACCTGCTAGACTGTGTTTCGCCGCCAGTAAACGATCGTTTATTGTTTGACCCGCCATTTTATCTTCACTTGGTAGCACTTATCACACACGGTACAAACAGGATTTTCACGAAATTTTTGACTACTCGAGTTACTCGCTTACTGATTCAACAGAAAAGGACGGGTCGATCGTGAAAATCCCACCGGCGAATCAATAAAATGTTTAGACACAAAAATGGACGGCCGACACCTAACGGCCATCTCGCGAAACACCGCCAAACTGTAACCACTGCCGCCTCCTCTTCCCGAAAACGAAATAATCAAAAACGTTATCGTTTTAAACGGCGATAAAAACCACTTTTACGATTCTTGAAAATAATAACACAATTTAATAACTCCCAAAATTTGTTTTACACGAGCGAAAATCTTACCTGCCATCTAGTGAGCGTCACCCACAACATACGCTTACAGGAACCTGTTTTACAAAACAAGCACTACAAGCCACACAATTTTCAAAAATGTACACAATTTTAATTAAAGCAAAAACCTACCAGCAATGGCTAGTGAACAGACCGGTGGTATTTTGGGCGACCAAGTGCCATCCTCCAAACACTGCTGCACAGGCGTTCCCACCAAAACATACCCGGATTTGCAGCTGTAGTGCAACCTCTGCCCGACTCTGTAGCCATCAAACTCTCCAGTCTTCTCATGCACGAAATACCCATTAGTTATGTCCTTTGGAGCTGGACAATTTGTAATTTTCTGCACTGACTCACAAATAGCATAAGCCCCCGTCCAAATCCCTTTCTCACACACCCGATACTTGCTTTCTTTTGGCATCAAATTAAAGCCGTCACCACACGAATACGTGGCTAAGGTACCTTTATGAAACAACCCCTTCTCGTCCTTCTCCCCTTCGATCTCCAGAGACCCGTTTTTGATGTAAGGGGGCGGATAGCAGCGTTTGCTGCACTGGGGACGGGGTAACTCCTCCCATTTACCCTCAATGCAGTACACGTTGGGGGCCCCGTCCAGGTCGTAGCCTTCGTTACATTTAATTACGGCGACTTTATTTGCAGCGTCATCGATTATTCTGACATATCCGTTTTCGATGGCCCCAAAAAAGGGGCAATCGGCTTGAGATGAATTTGTTGTGGTGTACGTTCTTTCTGACCACGGTGGGAATTCCGTTGTTGCACCATCAGTGGTGGTCTTCATGAATACCACAAAAGTGGTGATGAAGGTCAGGAACATGATGGATGTTGAAGCAACGAATTCGGAAATCACATCACACAAGTTTTATTAGGTGAAAATTGTGTGTTATTTGAGTTTTTCGTAAACACTGTACACTGTTTTCGAGTTATGTTTTTGTGGTTAGGGAGTTAAGGCAACCATTGCTGTGGAAAACAAAACACTTTTTGACAACTGGGATCGATCAGCTGTTTTGTCAAGGTCGTCCATTGTTTTGTAAACAGGGGGGTATATGAAATTTTTGTAGGAATAACAATGATTTCAAGAATATTAAAATCAGAGGGAGAATTTATTTATTGTAGTGATTGAAAAGTTAAAGTCAGATATTGTGGTTGCCTACAGGCCTTTCGTCTTGAAAACAAAAGTATTGTTGGTTGCATATACAAAATTTAATTTCCTTTTATAAAATTTAAAATCTTAAAAATATTGCAAATAAAATACCATAACTGAGAAATGCTACACAAAGAACAGATTTATATTTACTTATACATTATAATAATAGCGTATGTATAATGTAGGTATCACAGGTAGGTGTATTGTATATTAAGTGGTATAACGTCATATAAATAGAATTTTAGACAGTAGGGACAACTACTGTCGACGCCTTTGATGTTTTTGAACTAAATTTTAAGCCACCAATGGGTGGTCGTTGTGTAAACTATTTCTAGATGCCGCCACACAATTTAAAGAGTTATCACAAGCGTTTCATTTTTAAATTCTAAACTTGATTTGTATACGCAATTTACAACGCACCACTTTGCTCAAGTCTAAAATATAAATAAAACGTGACAACAACCAGTCCAATAATTTCGGAGATTAACTGTTTAATAAAGTCGACATAGACGAGAAACAGACGGAAACGGGACCTATCTTTCATACCCTAGGAGTCATGAAACGTCGAGAAAAGAAAAGCAGCTTACGCTGGGCAAGTAAGGAATCAAAAGAAAAATAGTCTTTTATTTTGTATTAAATATTTTATTCTAGTCAGTGGTCAATTTATTTTTAAGGTCACAATATGTATCATATTTCCGTAATTTGAAAATAAAATAAAAATGTTTTAAGCTAGTGACTTTTTAGAAAAAAAAATCTTGACAAAATGTCTCTCGTATATGGTGCAGGTTCTTTTGGTTAGCATTATACAAGTGTTAGGTAATAAAAAATTTACATGTAATGGACTTGAAACTCATTTATTCATGTGCCGCCTTATTTGACTTTTGGCTAATTAATTAATCTTCGATTAGTTGTCAAACTTTGACTCAAATTTGAAGTTTTTTCTTTCTTTAAATCACCAAGATACGGACATGAACTCTAGTGATTCTGCGGTACAGGCATAAGGTACAGGCAAAAGATGAGCAGGAAAAGGTGGAAGGACTGGAGGAGGAGGATGAAGGTGATTAAAATTATGTAGAAATATTGGGATTTAATAAACATAATATTAACTTTTCACAGCGTTGTATTTTATGTCGAAGATTCATTACTAGACAGCGGCTTTCTGTCGGGCTACGTCACTATTATCGGTGGGGATGCGCTGGATCGCCGGGACTCAGTAGCGGGTGATAGATAATCACTAATTTAATCGTCACTTATTCCATAAATACAATTAACGATTTATTAATCAAACGGCTAAGTAAATGAGAACGAGAATTAACAGCAAAGATAACGAAGCAGCGTTATTCTAATCTCAAATAAATGAAGTGCAGTCCCTAACTGCAATGAATTCCCATCCCATCCCGTACGAGCCGTAGCGAGTTTGGCCTTGCCCAGCCCGACATAAATCCGCTCTCTATTCATTACATATCAACACCTTAAAATTTTACTTTTAACAGTCGAAAGTTTGGAACCTGGGGTCTTTCGATAATAAAAAATCTATAACTAAGATTATTTTAGTTTTTAAAATAATTAAAATTGATTTATTCATCATAATTTTTTATTCATTCTCCTAAAAAAACTGATTACATTAATTTAAACAGTTCTTAAATAAATGTTTATTAAAAAATAAATAGTTCTGACATGTGATCCTCTTTGTGTTTTAGTAATACATATTCTTTTACTTTTTAAAATAGTTCTTTGGAAATTAAATGTTATGGTATCATCTTAAAAATGTTCGTTAGAAAAAATAAACTGCTGAAAAAAATCAACGAAAATTGATGTATCCACCACTTATCAGAAACAGTTTTTCTAATTTCCTTAAGATTTTAGAAACAGTATCATCTTACAATGTGTGTATAATAGTTCAATACTGACGTTTATTTCCAAACTATCAAAACCAAACAACTATCTACATTTTAGTTAATACAATAATAATAAAGTAAATATCACAGTGCTATAAATTTGTATTGTTGGTTGCGTCGTAAATTTTTTAACTGATGGGCTTCTCGTGAATAACCTGTATATTGATATAGAAAAAAGAAACACACGTAATTTGTGGCCAAAGGAAAACAACCGGAATTTTGTTCGGAAATAAGAAAGCTACAAAGTCACTTATGTCATTATATTAGAAGAATTCGTTGACCAAATACAGCCATTGTTGTTTCCGGTTATGCAACTTAACGTACACTATACTTACGTTACGTTACGTTTACGTACAATACATAATCTACTAGGTACATCGGTGGCGAGATTTCGAATTTTCGAAGAACGCTGGCGCCCGGTTTCTCCAGAACTTCTTCGTAGTTGGGTAAATAAAATTTCCGAAACATATAGACGAAGTCGTCCCAGGAATACTATAGCGGTTGGTTATTCCGGTACCACCCTGGTCAGCATCTCCGGTAGCACCATGAGATCACGTTCAACGAAAACGCAAAATGCTCCAGGAGCTTTTTGGTCCAGTCCAGAGTCCAGGAAAGCCATGGGTCGGTATCTCCATTGAAGCGCATTCGGCTTTTCTGCACCAGGTCCAGAGGATCCCAACAGGTATCCCCCCGGTGCGTGTAGCACAACGCTGACTGAACCGGCTCAGGCGGAATGGTGTCGATAATAGTGACGATTCGTGTTTCTCCAATATCTTATGGGGGTTTATGTAGATCGATTACTGCCGCTGAGACACGTTTAGTCGGTCTTGGCGATGAGGTCCTGTTGCTTTCACGCCTTGTGGATAGCGCCTTTTACGCGGGACGGTTGCTCGGGTGCCAACTCCTTATCCCGAGAGAGACCACCTAGGGTACTCTAAGCTGAAGAAACGGATATCCAGGGCCTCGTGATGGACCGTGAAAAAAATAAATGATACTCCGGTTCAAGTTTAAAAATGTACGGTCTTGTAAATGAACTTAATCTATAGCCTAAAGCACAATGGCTTGATTTTTTTTTGGGAATTGGTTTTTTTCGCTTAACTGTACTATCAAGGTGCTAGATTTACACTTGATCCAAGTGTGGACAAGTACCTTAAAATTCAACGCAAGTGTAATAATAATAACTCACCAAAAACCAGGCACAGCGAGGAGCAAAAAGACAGATAAGAATGGTTTTTATGTTCGCTTCTTAAGAAGTACAATAAATCGCACTGTGTGGACTTATAGATTTCTAAATACCGAAATTATATTAGTCTCTACTAAAAAATCACCTTATTGTGTAGAATAACAACAACCAATTAATAACATTAAGTTTTGGCTAATTTAAACATCACTGAACGGAACCTCAAAAACCAACTGTAGGTAAGCAGAGAAAAATGTTGTGTCTCGGTGGGAATCGAACCCACGTCTCTTTGCTTTCCGAGCAAGTATGACCGCTACACCACAAGGCGACTTATCTTTCTCTACTTACCAACGTGTTATTGTGCCGCCACACCAACCACACTGCATACGTGCGCATCGACGGTCACTGTTGATAAAATACGTGGGAAGTTACAAGGAAAATTAATGCAAAAATTTTAAATTTAAATCAAAGTTAAATATAGTCAGTTAATAAGGAGGAAGAGACAATGTTGGGACTAGGAGACGATGATTAAAATTATAAACATTAAATTTAACTAACATAGTAATGTTTCACAACATTTTATTGAAACTTTTTATGTTTGTTGTTTTTTAGAACTACCTAGAAGGGTAGTTTATACAATATTTCAACTGATATTAAGTTAATCACGCATTTAACGAGGCGTTTAGCAACGTCTGACTGGCGTAGTGTTAAGAATTTAATCGCAATCAAATATGTATTTAATTGCGCTGCCGTAAACCGGGTTCTAATTATTATGGATTATAAATCTAGAGTCTAGAAGATTTCCTTAGTCCAAATTCACAATTCAGTTTCCAAAAATATTTTAAACGTATTATGCTTTGAAATCTTGCAGACATTTTAAAGCCATCGTAAGCATGGTAAATTGTCAGTCCAAATAGGTACATCTGTTTATACTCGCACCCCCCAAACCCCCCCCCCCATATAATAACACAACAAATACTAAACGTGTTTACGGGTCTTTACTTTGGCAAAATATTATATGACGTTATCAAAGTTTACTTTCCTCTCTTTCTCAATTGATAAAATGGAAAGATTGTTTAGTTGCGCTTAGCTCTCATATTGCGGACTTTAAGCACGATTTTATCAGTTTTAATTTTGAAAAGCTTCTTTCACATAAAGCCACCGAAACATGGTTAAAAAAATCTTAGACAGCGCGAGACTCGGAACAGACACAGAATAGCCCCATTTTAGGATGAAACTGAAAAACTTCAATGTAGTCCACTGAACCGCTTCTTGGGAAGAAATGCTGGCAGCTTCCAAGTGGCGCCTTAGTCGCAAAATTTCCAAAATTATGTCCTCTGCAGAAAATTCATTGCAGATTTTTGTCAGGTTTGGAACTATTCCATGAACATCTTTTTTTGATGACGTTGGAGTGGGATTTATAAACTTACTGTTGACGTTGCTTTTAGAACTGAAAATAATCATTTATAAACTCCGTTGCCAAGTTGCCGTCGATACTAACTTTGATGTTCAACTTTTGCCCTATTTAGGGGTCGTAGAAAAAAAGTGGAGGATTTAAAAGCTGATTACTACAAAACTTTACCATTTTAGACATGTTTTAAGTTTCTTGTTGTCGAAATAAGTCTACACATAGTAAGAGAAAAAGGCAAAAGGTAGCCCCGCCCACCCGCCCTGTCCCAATTGTGATGTTTTTTTTATTCGTCGTGAGTCAAGAAGGTGGAGCTTAACTGCACAATTCTATTTCTCTACGAGAAATAAAAAACATGTCTCTGAGTATCGTGTTGTTTAAACAATATTATGTATATTAAGAAACAAATAAAGCCAAAGATTAAGCCCCACCCATACCCGCCCCGATCTCAACTCTGATTGTGATGAATTTTTCATTCGTTATAAGATCAAGGGGCAGGGCTTAATTGCAAGATCCATATTTATCTACAAGAATTTACCATTTTAGATATGTTTTAAGTTTCCTGTTCTGAAAAGGCGACTACGTATATTAAGACAAAAAGCAAAATATAAGCCCCGCCCTATCTCAATTGTGACAATTTTTTTTAATTGTCGAGAGCTAAGAGATGGAATTTAAATGCAAAATTATTATTATTTCTCTACAAGAAATTAGCATGTAAGACATTTTTTGAGTATCGTGTTATTCAAAGAATACTAATTTAATCCTGATTTAATAGTAATGAAGTTTTCATTCGTTGGCAGACCTAGAGGCGGAGCCTAATTGCAAAATCCATATTTCCTTACAAAAACGTATCATTTTAAACGTGTTTTAAGTTTCGAAGAATTAAAAATTGTCACAATTGAGATGGGGTAGGTGGGTGGGGTTAAGATTTTGCCTTTTTTTCTTAATATACATAGTATTCTTTGAACAACACGATACTCAAAAACACGTTTTTAATTTTTTGTAAAGAAATAAGTATGTTGCAGTTAATAAAAAAAATCATCACAATTGAGATAGGGCGGGTGGGCGGCTTACATTTTGCCTTTTTGTTTTAATATGTGTAAACTTCTTTTCACAACATGAAACTTAAAACATGTTTAAAGTGGAAAATTTGTGTAAGGAAATATCGACTTTGCAAATAGGCTTCGCCTCATAATTGCCAAATACACATATTTCCTTGCAAAATCCATTTTAACCATGTTTTAAGTTTCTCTTCATGAAGAGATGGCTATGTATAGTAGGAAAAAAAAGGCAAAATATATTATAATAATAATTAATTAATTAAAAAATTGTAGGTATTGCAAACATTAAATTATTAATATCTGAAAAAACGTATGTTATGTATAATACATAACAGAATTTTAAAAAAACTCTACGTGAATCTTTAAAAAAATCATTCAACAAAGTTGAACGTCATACCCAAAAACAAATGAACGGTAAACACTAATTTTTCAAATCAATGTAGTATGTTTAAAATGATTTAATTCGAAAAAATAGGACAGCAAAGGCTTGGGCTTGCATTGCATTATATGTATTGCATAGTTGTGACTATTAATGGCCACATGATCCAAGTATTATGAACAAAAACCTGGGGTACTTTAAGGATCTATTTTGGGACAGTTATTTTTTAACCTTTACGTCAACGACATCGGTTTATTCCTTACAGTGAAATATTTGATATATGCGAACGACTTTAAATTATTTCTTGAAGTTAAAGACAAAACAGATTGTGGAACTTTTCAGCAGAATTGTTAAAATATGCTCCGAAAACAACAAGTAGAACTACTAGTAGAACTCATATTTGCATACACATTACACAAAATTAAATTACCGTTCATTAAAATTACAAAAGCACTGCTAGAACTCACCCTTTGCAAAAGACGTTTTAGTAATTGAATTTGTCAGACCATTTTTACTCACTCCTAATAAGTCGTTCCCTTTATTATGAAAAAAAAAAAAAATGAATAGAAAAAAGCAGACAGAGCTTTTTTGTAATTCATGAAGAATTTCTGCGATATTAAGCTTGGCAGCGAAACAGCATATTAAATACGCAAGCAGAGCCTGAAAAACTTTTAGGAAGCAGTTTTGTTAAGTTTTAGAGTTTTAATTAAGTCCACGCCGGCAGCTTTCCTTCTCGCCATCATTAAAGATTAATCAATAAGGGACGTTTAGTTCCACCGTAGTGCTTTACCAAATAATGGCCGGAATCTCCGATATGCATTTGATTAAAAAGCAGAGAGCTTTCAAAGCACCTGACCTGAAGTGCAAATTCTCATAAAGCCCATTAATAAGAAGTTTTGCGAGCCTGGTTTGGCAATTATCGTTAATTGGAGTCGACGCGAAAAATTCGAGAGCTTATTAGATTCTTGACCGTAACCTAGGTAACGCTCTATGGCATTTTCAATCATCTCCGACCTATTTCTCACCACTTGAGATGCAGCACGTGCCAATAAAAAAAAACTCCAGGAATATTATTGTCCCATTTTATTAGGTGGTTTCTCCATGTCATGGATTATTGTTAAAAAATAGCCCGTTGTCACAATGATTGCCTCGTTACATTAAGCTATTCCACATTTATAACATATTTATATAGTGACCAGCACTATGAACTCGTAACAAAATGTTTAATTCTGCATGGCAGTGGCAGCATTAACATTTTCCAACAAATGGAAAAATTAAAATGAAACCACAACAGAAAAAGTGGCCATTTTTTCTTCAACCGTCGGTCGTTTTATCAGAGATCAGCTTTATCATCACTTTGTAGTAATCATGGGGAGATTTCGTGTCGTACATTTTCTGCCCATTCTCATCCTTGTAATCTCCATATTTCACGCTCTTCTCCACAATGAAATCGAGACATTCGGCGACTCTTTGTGTGAAGAGGCTTGTAGCGTCCACCTTTATCAACTGAAACAAGGATAACATTTACAATACACTCAGTAATTAACTAAGTGTTTATACATATATAAAGTGTAAAGTCGAAAATTGTGCTAATATTTTCACTGTACTGGAGAAGTTGTTAGCTCTGGATAAAACTCATCCCTGTTTTTAATAATTGTGAAGTTAATAGAAGAAAAATTACTTTAAATCCGTGTTCCTTCGCCACCATTTCGCTCCTCCGAAACAGCTCCTTGGCAAGCCCTTTCCCTCTAAATCTCGAATCCACCGAAAGTATTCTCAGTTCGAAGATTTTGTCGACGTTGTATTTGCTGTACAGGTCGGCAGTCTTATTAACATTATTTAGTAAGCCGAAGATTCGCTGGTATTTGATGTTATCGATGGTCTTCATATCCTCCAGCGCTTTCTCCACGTCCCCTTTTCTGGCGATTCCGTTCAAAGCCACCCCAGCTATCTGAAAAATGTCATTAAACTCGAAGTTAGGACGAATTCCGACTGTGAGCTACAACCCGTTTATTGCTTCCCGTCTAGCTATATACGAATTTCAATAAAACGCTTGCTTGTTGTTATGGGGGAATTATTTACGTACCTCGCCGGTCGCTTTATCTAACGCCATTACTGAAAGACCATCTTGCATAGTCATTAAATCGTGGTGCTCTAAAAGCTCGCAGGGTTTGCCGTGGACGCACAGTCCTACGGAGGCGTTTAAGGGCTCGTCGGGGAAGTTGTGGCGAAGGTGGTGGATGACGTCTTCGAATTTTGAACTGGGGATGGTCACGTACTCCATTTTTAAACCTGTTCTAAAGAAAAGTGTTCACGAATAAATTTTTCTCACAATTAAGTAATTCTGTGTCTAGTAGAGCATCCTCAACTAAATAATCAGTTTGACTTTTGAAAAAGTAAATTTATCACAATAAACTCCTCAAATATACAGGATGTTTCGTTTGAAAATTACTTAACTTAACACACTATATTTTTTTGTATATTAAGACAAATTTTCCAAAAATAAAATTTTCAGTAGTCAATTCTTTAAAAAATAAATTACCTCAAGAAGGTTTTGCTATATTTACCACAGGGTAATGAGATCCTCGGATTCCGAATCAAGGAACTGTGGAACATTCGTTGCATTTGAATTATTACAATTTTCAAATTTCGCATCGATATTTGAAAAACTTTTATTAAGTACAGTAGACGCCGCTTAATATGATCACGGTTAATGTTATCAACCGCTTAGTGTGATCATAATGGCTTGGAACGGGCCCACGCAATACCAATGCATTACAGTTTTTCCGTTTATTGTGATCAATATTTCGCTTATTGTGATCAATCTCCCAATTCTTATACAAGCTTTTTTGAAGAAACGAGACGATTGAAAGTACTATTGTTTTTAATGAACTTTTATTGCTCTCAAAAGATACATTCGCTTATACTACTCACTTTATAGAGCCACAATCAGTGACAGACTTTAGTAATCAGCGCGTTTTCGTCTTTTGAATCAACGAATTTTTCCTGTTTTAAATTTGAGTAGTACTTATGTAAAAATGAGCACGTCAAAACGACGAGATCTCAACTTATCAGAGAAAAAAAATTTTCAGCCCGTTTTTTCTAAAATAACCAAAGGAAATCAAGAGTTCCTTTCTCAGAATGATAACCAAAATTAAAAATAAATTCTAATGTTTATGTACCTTCATTTAGCAGCATAATGAACACTCTCTTGTTCATGATTTTGATTTGTTTCAAGTTTTCCTGTCTCTGATGGTGGTTTTCGCTTATTGTTATCAGTCGGTTAGTGTGATCAATTTGTCTGAGTCCCAAAGTGATCACATTAAGCGGCGTCCACTGTATGTAATTTAAAAAAATTTCATAGACACTGTGTATAACACATTTATTTATATCTCCATAAAATATTGTAACGCTGGTTTTAAAAATAACCCAATTGCGATTTTTTTGTGAGCCCCTTCACTGCTAAAAAATTTAATAACATGGCAACGTCGCATAGAAAATACAAAAATGACCTCAGAAGAGGTTAGTCAAAATATGTAAAAATCTATATAGGTATTCTTAAAATTGGTCGAAGTTTCGACAGAATTTCTTTCGCCCCTGGACTGCACAATAAAACATATCTCCGCCCACCCACCCGTTCTCTAATTTTTTTATCTTATAGATACATTTCGATTAACAATTTACCATGCTTACAGTAACTTTAAAACGTCTGCAAAATTTCAAAGTATTCAGTTTTGCAATTCTTGATTTAATCAATAAAATAAAATAACTCAGACATACATTTTTTGTAGACAGCCTGTATAAGCAAATCTAAAAAATATTAATGCAGTGATATAGGACAAGCATAGACTCATCATATTTTGGACATTTTAGGTAAGGTTTATTGTTTTTCATCAAAATTTTGAGCTGACATCAATTTTTTTGGAGGGGATAAGTAAATATATTTTGATTAAAAATTTATCATGCTTAAAAATTGAAAGGAATCAGAAATATTTTTCAACTGTTTCATTTCTTGTTTTTCTGTTTTTTTTTTGTTCGATTTTACAAGTTTTTGATTTCCATTTTTTCAAGTTTTAATTTAAAATTTCACCAAAAAAGTCATCTGCCAAAATCAATCTTATCTAGCAAGTACTAGCCCCGCCCACCGACCTTTATTTACCTAGAGGATACGCCATTTTTCAACTTTCGAAGTTCTCGCTTTTTAAGTTTTCAATTTTTTGATCTGTCTTTCGATTTTTGATTTCCCTGGGCAACTGTAAAAACTTCGATTTTTTAATTCTACAATTTTGGCAGTTTTCCGATTTCTCCAGTTTTAGATTTTTATTTTCTCGATTTTGGTTTTTTTTTTATTTTTCGATTTTTGAATTTTGTGATGACGCCATCGAGTTTTTGGTGAATTATGTAGTTTATCAATTTTTAATTTTTCAAGTTCATTTTCCGTTCCTGATTTCGGTCCAAATTTATCAGAATTTGGAAATATCCAAAAATTTTAAAAATTAGAAATTGTGAAATTGAGACATCGAAAAATTAAAATGCAAAAATATAAAAATTAAAAAAAATGATAAAATCGCATGGAATCAGAAAGATTTTTCAGTTGTTCATTTCTTGATTTTCTGTTTTTGTTTTCGATTTTACAATGTTTTGATTTCCGTTTTTTTAAGTTTTTAATTAAAAATGTTTTCATCTTTATTTTGAATATTTAATTTTTTCAGTTTTGCAATTTTTGAATTTTTTGAATTTCCAATTTTTTAGTTTTTCTATTTTAACTTGTCTAGTTAATTTTTCATTTTTTCAATTTATTATTTTTAAAATATTCAAGAAAATGAAATTTTAAGAATCTAAAAATTTCAAAATTAAAAAATTGAAAAATTGTAACATTGCGTCATCGAAAAATTAAAAAGGGGCAAACAGAAAAATTCAAAGATTGAAAAAATCTCAAAATAAAAATAGAAAACTGGGATAATTCTGGGATAATTCAGGAACCTTTTTCAATCGCTCCATTTTTTAATTTTCAGATTTTTTTTGTTTTTAGATTTGCATTATTTAAAGTTTTTTATTTAAAATTTTTTACATTTACGATTTTTCGACTTTTGAAAGTTTCGTTTTTCCAGTTTTGAGGTTTTCCAATTTTTCAATTATTCAATTTCAATGTTTATATTTTTATTAAATTAACTTTTACAGTTCTTTCAAATTACTTCAAAAACTAGACATAGGTGGCCCACAAGATTCTTTCAAACCACTTCAAAAACAGAACAAAAGGGGTCATCGAGATTCCTTCAGATTACTTGAAAAACAAGACAAAAATGGTCCATGAAATTCTTTCAAACTACTTTAAAGACCAAGTATAAAAGGTCCCCGAAATTCTTTCAAACTATGTACGTCAAAAACAAGACATAAGGAGTTTTCGAGTTTCCTTCAAACTACTTCAAAAACACAACACAAGTGATACCCGACATTCTTTCAAATTTTTTCAAAAACAAGACAAAGTTTCCCCGAGATTGTTTCCAACCACTTTGAAAACAAAACAAAAACGCTACTTCAAACTACTTCAAAAACCATACATAAAAGGTCTCTGAGATTATTTCAGATTTTTCAAAAATAAAACCCAAGTGATTCCAGAGATTCTTCCAAATTACTTTAAAACAAAGCAAGAGATAACTGAGATTTTTATTTTTAGACTTTTTGATTTCTCGATGTTTCAGTTTTCGGATTTTTCAGTTTTTCGATTCCTCAATTTTTCGATATTTCAGTTTTTAGATGTTTCAATGTTTCGATACTTTGAGTTTTCGATTTTTCGGTTTCTCGAATTTTTGCTTTTTCAATTTTTCAATTTTTCGATTTTTTAATATTTCGATTTCTCAACTGCTTAATTATGCGATACTACAATTTTCCGATGTTTCAGTTTTACAATTTAGCAATTTTTTGATTCTTCAACATTTCAGTTTTTAAGTTTTTCAATTTTTCAAATTTTTAAGTTCCTAAATTTTCGATTAATCGATTTCTCATTTTTTCGATTTTTTCATTTTTCGTTCGAGAAATCGGTCTTTCGATTTTTCAGTTTTTCAATCTTGACTTTTTTAATTTTTTTATTTTTCGGGTTGTTATTTTTCAATTTTTAGATTTTTCAAGTCTTTCAATTTTTAGATTGTTTGAATTTTTAATTTTTGGACTTTTCGGTTTTTCCATTCTTCAGTGTTTGGATATTCCAGTTTTTCTACGATTTTTCAATTTTTCCATATTTCAGTTTTTAGATCTTTCAATGTTTCGATTAATTTTCTACTTAATTATGAAATACTACAATTTTTTGATTTATAGATTTTCCGATGTTTTAGTTTCACGATTTAGTAATTTTTCGATTCTTCAACATTTCGATTTTTAAATTACTCAATTTTTCAAATTTTTATATTTCTAAATTTTCGATTAATCGATTTCTCATTTTTTCGATTTTTTCATTTTTCGTTCGAGAAATCGGTTTTCCAATTTTTTGATTTCCCAATTTACCGATATTTCAGTTTTGAGATTTTTCAGTGTTTCGATTTCTTAATTATTCAGTTATTCGATTCTTCAGTTTTTCTTCACAGACGGACAGACAGACGGAAACGGAAGACCTATTTCTTCGTACTTTAGGGTTCATGAAAGATCGACACGGACAGCGGAGAGACAGACAGACATATGTATTTCTACTGTAGGGGTCATGACACATCGAAAAAATCTGGAAGTAGCCAATCGCCCGATTACAATATACAGGTGTTTGTATTTTTAGTGGTTTATTTTTATAAGCAAAAAGTTAGGACAAAAGATTTTACATGAAACACTCTGTATATGCTATATTGCTAATAGTTTTTATTGGTACTAACACACATAATTAGACAAATCTCTCTTAATAAATAAAGCAATAAAAGCAGTTTTAAGGAAGGCAATTATTAAAATATTTTTTTATGTATTAATTTTTAAAATATCAGGTAAATTCGATTAAAATTGGATAATGAAAATGCGTACAGTATTTTCATTAGAACTATTTTTTAAGCAAAAATTTGAAAATTTCGATTTCGCCAAGTTGTTACGTCGGCGGGAAGTTGAAATTAACGATGATGTTTTTATACAACATTTTAAAAGAAGATAAAAAATTGGGTTATTAGGATTTACAAGAACATTTTATTTTTGATATACGACGTATTGTCATTTCTCAAAATTTTTAACAATACAATGTTGCAAAAAAAGACACAATAAGCTTATTTTTAACAATTAATTTGTAATATTTTGTAGATATTTAGATAAAAAAAAGTATGTGTTTCACAGAAGTAACATTAAAGTTGAACCTTGGTATACAGAGTGTTTATAGAAAAATAAAATATTAGTCAAGCTTTGCAGTGTAAAAAAATAGAAAAGTGGAATAACTTGAGAACGTCGTAATGGAATTTCTAAAATAAAGTATTTTTGTAAAATTTGGAGGCCAATCAGAACGTGATGGAAAAAATTACATCTTAAAACATTTTAAAAATAGACCATCTGTAAAATCGAATATGATTTTAGTTTATGCTGTTCAAAATTAACTAATTAATTAGATAGATACTATAAAAAATTGTCAAATGGAACAGTATTTTTAAGAACGAACTTTAAATTTTTAAATCGACAGTGTCAGCAATGTTAAATTTCATTAATCTTAATTTCTTTTTTGGTACCTAATACTGTTCTAGTACCTACATGACGTGGACGAAAAAAAATGTAATTTGTTTATAGCATAACGTTGAAGTTGGCTACAGATTTCTAGGAAATAAATTCTACAAAAATAATCTCGACATTATAAAGTGTATTTTGGAACATCATAAACTAATTCGTACCGCTTCCGGTTTCATAGCATAAAGGAAATTTTTATTTTTGTTTTGAAAAGCCTTATTATTTAATATGATTATAATAACACGAAATTTATATCTAGTTACATAACAAAACACAAAAAATGTTCTTAAAAGTTGTTCTATTATTGAATTTATTTCCTATATAACCAATCAAGATGAAATAGCCTGTATCGATAGGAAATGCACTAAGTACGCAGAATTAAACTTGCAATTTATTGACGCACAGAATTTACTGCCAGCTGCAAGTCTTCAGTTTTTACTCTCACAATTTCACGATGTTAAATTGTAAGAAAATTCAAATGTGTTAAACGCCTCGATAAACTGACTCGTCGTAAAGAACATTATTGTTTATTTACCACAAGTCACAGACGTAATGCAACTTATCATTTTTGTTTATCACTTTTTTAACGATTCGAGAATCATAAAACAGAATCGTTATCTTGAAATCATACTTTAAGGTTTTCCTTCGCTCAATGAAAATTGTGTTAATAGAGCATAAAATTTTCCTTGACAGGCTATGATTAACATTACATGTGTGTAACTCACGACGTTACGTAAAGCTACTCCCACTCGACAAAGTAATCAAGAAATTTAAAAACTGCTAAATTTTGTCACCAAATAAAACAAGAAAAAAACTTTTGCAATCCAAACACGTAAAAAGATCGTTTACAAACAATTCGTACAGACAATTCCGTACACGCCATAAACTTACAATAAACACTCTGTTTTATGAAAGAGCACATAAAGAAGGCAGTTATTCTTTCTATAAAAAATATATCAAATGTACAGCAAGTGGATTTTTATTGCACCTCGTTACCAATTTCATTTTAATAAAAACACATACTAAACAAAAAGTATACATTGTAATAAAATCAAAATAAAAAGTTTGTAAAAAATTCGCTCGCTGTTTAGGTAACACATCCGTAAAACCCGAATCCTGTATTCTAAAAATCTCCTAATGCACGTTTAATATCAGATAAAGTTACTAACCTTTGGTGCTACGAGCTTCACATGTAGTTTGTACGAGCTTTCGTGTGGCACTAAATTCACTAAACGTGATTTTCAGTCCTCTCTTGGATCCTGTTGCTTCTAGCAACGCCCGGGAATTGGTTTCCAGGCCCGGATTAATCCTAATTGGATTTTGTGTGTGCAAAGAAACGAATAAACTTTTCCAACCGGATTTACACGGTCTTATTGTAACCAATTAAGGGTGTTTGCATCGCTGTCGCAGTTTCGACGTGTTGTTGGGAGCTGTTGGAAAATCTCCAAAGCGTTAATTGAAACGAAAACAGTACGGACGTCGGTGTTTCTTGAATTGAAATATTAACAAACATCTCTGTCCTCGTCTCGGGTATTTCTCCGTTTAGAATTAACAAGTGGGTGTAATTATGGAATTGTTAATTCGGCAGAGGAATTAAACTTGCGATTAATGAACGCGCTAAATTAAAGCGACATTTTTTCTTCTAATAAAACTGTTATTATGTTATAAACAAGTGGATGCAATGTGTTATACCATTATTTTTATTAGGAGGAATTTTTGTCGTCCGTAAATGATACTGAAATAAATATATCTAGTCTTTTGGAACATTTAAAACCTTTTACCGCTTCCTCTTTTTTTAAGTTCATTATTAAAAATTTAAAAAGCTGCTATAGTTTCTTTTAAAAACAAAAATATATTTTATTTTCTAGTTTTTTAAGTTGTCACATATAGGATTAGTGGTTTTGAAATCGTTTTGACTATTTTGACATGTTTGTCAAGAGGAAACTTTTAATTAAATCCTTAAAGTCCTAATTTTCTGACAACGATTATAATTGTACGGTATTAAGCTTTTTCGGCAACGTGTCCACTTCAGTGGTGCGTAATTATGGCCTACTGCAATACAAAACGTTTTCAATCCTACTTTCCGCAGCTGGATAATGATAAAACTCTGCCACTCAGTAAAAAAACATACAGTTTTGTCAACTATTTATTGATAACTTGATACATATTTTAATAGCTTAACTGAACTTAATTAACGTCAACAAAACTTTACACTTACAACTAAAAAGTATATGCAATATTGTCTCATTGCTATAAAACAGACACCTCACGACCCCTACGCTAACACTTTCAAAAAATTTATACACCTGGTCTTAAACCGACCTGGACTTAAATTAGCAATAAGCATGAAGTTAACACACGTTTCTAATGTGCAATACTGTAAAACAAAATAATATCATTCACAATGAAGCAAGCTTACGCTAACTTTGTACAGAAAATTTTAATATTTTGAAAACATTAAAAAAGTACAATTATAGATTAGAAAAGGAGGTCTTCATCTCCTTCATCTAGCAAATTAGCGGCTTCTTTAAGCTGCTCACTTTCACGAAGTGCCGCTTTTGCGGCATCAGCCTTTGCGCGAGCGATTTTTTTCTTATCTTGAATTTTTTTCAAGCGATAGAATTCCTCACGTTCAAGTTCATCTAGCTCAGAGATGATGTAGGCCAAAGTGCGCTCAATCCTTGGAATGATCACTGTAAAAAAAAAAAGAAAAAATAAGTAGAAATCAGAGTTGTATATAATAATAATTACCATGCTCAATGGCATTTACTCTTCTGTTTGTGATTTTAATAACTTCGTCCAGAGTGACGAACGACGTCTGCAATGACGCCAACTCAACGAGTAACTTAACAGCGCTTTGGTAATTTTTCTTCAGTTTAGCCAACTGCTGACCTCCTCTAGCCAACCCCGCGAGTTCATATGTATCAGTTCCATCTTGATAGCACTCAAAGACAGGCAATGTAACACCTACAAACCACCAAATAAGCAAATATATTACCCAAATAGGTTGAACATACCAGCTACATTGTCTTTCTTTGTCCGAATTTTAATCTGCGCTTTCGTCACGTTCTGTAGCACCACTTGATTGAAATCCCCGGTTGCGAATTTTGCTTCAGCCAAAGAAAACGCCGCCTCTTTCATCACTTCACCCATGAGGGTTTTAGTCTGAAAATTTTAATCTCAGCACAGATATGTCATGAGTGGTTCAACCAACCTCAATAATTTTACTCAAAATCATGCGGAACCGCATCTGTAATGCGTCCGCTTTCTTCTTGAGCAGACTGTGACCCTTTTGGGCCCCCTTTAGCCTGGCTTTCATTAACATTTGGGCCCTGGAAAAGAAAATCGGTCACTCCCATTTTTGAGATAAAATTTGGGAGTATGTTTAGCGGGTTGCATTTTATGAAGGAAATTACGATTATTTGAGTGTGTACATACCCTCTTGAGGGGAAAATTGGCAGCTTATCCTTTCCAGACATTTTTTTGGACTATTTTCATGCACCTCACCTCACGAGTTCAAGTCAGCTGACCAGGTGACATATGACAAATGTCAAAGTGCGAGCGCCATCTATTACGTCAGAAAAGTGCAGATCTCTTACATAATTGTTGCATCACGTAACAGATTTCTTTAAACCAGTTAGGTAAAAACAATTCAAATTGCATAAAAGAGTAATTAATGTAAATTAAAGCATCTACTTTATTGCTAAATTAATAACCCCAGTAGTCGTAATACGAATAATAATAATGTCAACTCGGTTGATAAAATAGGTGACGTTGACGTTTGACATATAGTTGACAAGTGCCATAAATAATAACCTATTTAAATAATTTTTGCAGTATGTTTAAAGACGTTTTCAGATATTATAAGTCAAGAAATCCTCCCCCAGAACTTACAAAAGTATTAGACTTTGACAACGTCGACACATTAGAATCAAAAGTAAGTCACCTAACCTTACTTCCGCCAACACTAAAAATGTCCCGTTCTAGATTAAAAGAGTCACAATAAAAGACATTCATGACTTGAAAAACTACGGATTGCAGCCAGCCAAGACTTGGGAGGCCTATGAACTAATTGAACATCCTGGTAACTGTAAACTGCGTAAGTAACAAACTGACACTAACTTGATAAGTTTAAGGTTTGATATTTATTAAAAACCCATTTAGCAGCATAGGTCAAAGATACTGGACAGTGCGTTGTTTGCAGGACTACACGAAAAGACCAAATAAAACGAACTTAGATTCTTTTAAGTTGGTCCCTGAAGGGAAAGAATGGTGGGATGTTTGTCAGAATAATCATGATAAACTTTTATTGAACAAACTACGATGGGTTACTTTGGGGTATCACCATGACTGGGACACAAAAGTATGTGAAATCAGTAGTAGGGACTACATTAATTATGCATTGTAGATATACAGTGAAGACAATAAAGGAGAATTTCCTAAAGATTTGTCAGAACTGAGCAGACATGTTGCTCAAGCACTTGACTTTAATTTTAATGCAGAGGCAGCCATTGTTAATTTTTACCACATGGACTCGACGCTATCAGGTCATACAGACCATTCGGAACAAAATTTAGAAGCGCCATTGTTGTCTTTTAGGTAGACTGAATATCTTTCTTGTTTAAAGGAATAATGTAATAATGTTTTAGTTTTGGGCAAACTGCAATATTTCTTTTAGGTGGTAAGACAAAAGAAGATGCACCCACAGCCGTGTTCATAAGGAGTGGCGACATCGTCGTAATGAGTCAAGACTCCAGACTGTGTTATCACGGAGTTCCTAAAATTTTACAAATGGACTCACGTTTTTGGGATTGTTTTAATCAAAATAATTTAGTAAATAAGGAATTTAGGGAAGTTGTGCACATTTGTAAAGAGGAAACTTTATGGAAACCTTTTGCTGACTATTTGAACAGCTCAAGGATAAATGTCAATGTCAGACAAGTGTTAAAAAGGGGCCAGAAAAGGTTGTGTTCAGAGTCTGAGGACAAGAAATAAAAAACGTTTTAATTGTTTACTGAGAATTTATATTTTTCTATTCACACAAATTGATCAAAAGTCAATTGTAACTAATGTATGGTTTAATTGAGTGAATTGTGCCACAAGGGCATATGTCAAGAAGGCCCAAAATGTCCCAAAAGTTCACAGAAATGCTGCAAAGCTTGGCAAAAACTTTGTTCTTTTTGCTGCGTGGTTTAATAAGGTCGTATTGTTCCAAAGTTTTGGATATATCAGCAAAAATGTCTTCATCAAGAATAGGGTCCTTGAAGTTATTTCCGTACATTGACTCTCTAGATTTCTTCTTTTTCAGGGTGTAGGAAGAAGTGGAGGGGCTCTTGGTCAACGCCATATTAAACTTGTGACAATTTAATGTTTTTGTTTTTATTTATTTATTCTCCGCTGTCATTGTTATGATCCATCATAAGTGTCAAGAAAAACATGATTGTGTGCCAAATTTTTGTACTTGTAACATAAAATGGTGGAACAAGATATCGTCATAACTTCCATTGATTTAAAACTCCCTCCCGATCCCGAAGAAGAATACGTGACCCCATACAACTCGTTTTTGGCCATTGTAATAAGTTTTATGTTGTGGGCCATTTTCTACCAATGTATGCGTTTTCTTCTACCTTCAAAATGTCGGGAGTACCACTGCCGCCTTCTTAGTTTTCTGCATGGTATTATATCTGCGTTTGTTGGGGTCAATCAGTGCTTCATCATCGACGTGCCGTTTCAACATCCAGAATGGCGGACCACCAGTAGCCAAAGATTCTTAATGGTATGCAGTTTGGGTTACTTTATTCATGACTTAGGATGGATCCTTTTGTATGACAGAAACTCAAAACTGATGATCGCTCACCACGTATACAGTGCTTTTGCGCTACAGAGGATGCTTTACAAGCCGAATTCGGGGGCTCAAGCCACCTGCGCCCTGGGATGCATGGAAATTACAAATCCGCTTTTGCAGACTCGATGGTTTTTGCGAAGTGAAGGTTTTTACCCGTCATCGGTCTTTACTTCCGTGGAACTTACCTTTTTCCTCGTTTTCTTTCTGGTGCGTATTCTACTCGGTACGTACTTTCTTGTCGTTATTGCCTTCCAGCCTAAAAACGACTGGGACTTTAGAATACTCTCTCTCAGCATCTACGTCATGTCGTGGATGTTTTTGATCAACATGTCAAAATACTTCGTCCACAAGTACGGCTTGGGTTGCAGGGGGCTAGAGATTCTCATCTCACCATAACGGCTTAATTGTAACAGATGTAATTGTAAAAAGCATGAATAAATTGTTTTCATGTACGACAACACAAAAACGTGTTTTATTAAAACGTGATTAGCCATACCAGCAAATTGTTGTAACTGCAGTTGATTGCAACATCATGAAAATTTATTGCTGCTATTTACTGGTAAAAATTAAATTCCATAGGGAAGAATAATGACGCCACTTCAATTAATGGATGGTATTAGTGTAACTACGATCAGATGGAATTCACTTTATGACAAATACTTATTGATGGAATTTATTGTCGAGCCGATACAAAAAGTAACGCCATTTCTCTTCCGAGTGTAGTCACCAACCCAGCAACTAAGGAGGGACTCGACCAATTTGCAATTTAAATGGTGCAATAATTGCAGAATCGTTAAGGTGGTGCCATATTAGATCAATTAATCTCTTACTTCATAATAAATTCCGCATTTATAAATACGCGAGAGCCGCTTGCATCTTCATCAAGCTTGAATAACAAGTATTAAATTAAATAAAATGCAAACACTGTGATTCATGTTTAATAATACTTTAGAAGCAGAGTTAATTTATGCATAAATGGATGAATCAAGCATACAATTAATAAACATAGATATATTTTTGTGACCACCGTTGTTTTTAGCATGAAATGACAGTTCAATCTGATGCACAATACCGATAACCTAAAGTTTGAATCATTTTTAGTGTTCTGATTAATAAGAATATGTAGATCAAAGAATGTGTTTAGTGGTCACAGATTGCCCTCTAAAATCGGAGCTAAAAAATGTTTCTGGATTTCTGGGTTTTTGTAAAAACGAGAAACGCATTAGCAAAGATCCTGCATTTGCTTCAACAAAATAAGAAGAGTTTGGGAATGAACCTGAGGTTTTATCCATAAATGGAAAACGAAATGAAGACGCGACAAAAAGAAAGGAAAAGAGGAAGAATGTAAGTTAGTAAACTGAAATGGAAAGTTGCGGTGAATGTCTCATCATCGTGTATTTCAGTTTTAGTACGGATGTAGACCTGATCTCGATTCCTTGAACCTAATTCCTACAAGGATTAACGCTACAAGTGATCCCCATGGAATGACATTCTTCAGTGTTGTAATTGTTTTGTTTCTATAAAATTCTGTAGTGCTCTAATGCAAAGTAAATGCTACTTTTTTAGCTTGGTAATTATATTTCATTAATACCTAAATTTTCTTTATTACTTACTTTTTTTAATGTCAGCTTCTTTGAAATTTTATTCATAACTATTCTTGTTTAATACTAAATAAAATATATACAGTGTTATTTACTCATTATATAAATTTTATCCTAAAAATGTATAATAAATAAAGTGCTTTTTTTATTTTCGTGTGTTTTAAATAATACTTTCAGTCCCGACACCTACTTCCACCCCCGCAAAGGAGCCATCCAACTGCACGTCCTGATTCATTGGTTTTAATAAGTCGGTATTTGAGATAAACAATCACATGGATAATAATGACAATGAAGAAAACTCTTCATTCGGGTGTACCCAGTCGCTACTTTCGCCACTCAATGTCGTGCACCTGTTTCCGTTAACGCTAAAATTTCCCGAATTTTGACTATTGTCTTTTGAGTATTGTTACGTTGAAAGGGTGAATAAAATCGGCGTGGATAAAACCCAACAAAGTATTTCTTAATAACTCGAATTTACACGACTGAGTACACAGCGGTTCCGTACAAAATAATTCCGGCGCAACTTGGCTGGCTTCTCAACATTCGCTGCTGCCCCCTCCTTAGTTCTGATTGTCCCGATCAGAAACATCAGTGGTGTCACTGTCGACTGTCGTACTTCATAAGGTGGCCTAAGTGAACAAATCTTCGTTTTCCTCTTCAGCCCTCGTCGAATCCTGTAGACGACATCGTTGATCCTCGTCACCTCGTCACGACTGTATAGGAACCTTCCTAGTCTGATGACAACTTCGGGCAACAAGCATTCCTTCTTCGGGGGTTATAAAATCAGACCAAATCTCCGGCATGGAATCCTACCGAGTTGTTCCTAAGATCGTAGCGTGTCTTCATTTTATCACTCGCCACTTTATTCTTGGGGGAAAGGGGGGAGCATTTCGTGAACGCTCGGCAGCTTCTCCTTTTTTGTTTCCTTATTCCCTTCTTCGGTCACTGGGAGTAGATCCTCTACGTCTTCTGCACTTCTTCTAAAAGGCGAACCGACGTTGTGTGGTCCGTAATCTTCGGTCCTTTAAACGCCGCGCAGGTCGTCTTTGACCAGCTCTCAACAGACCCGGTAGAATCTCTATAATTTTGGAAAGCGTCTTGTTGATTCTAAAATGAGTACCAGAACTCCCATTGTGCATCTCTCGAAGTACTTCCTTGATTCTGGTGACTGGAACCACCAACTGCATAGTGACATGCCTTCCATCCGAACTTTCCCAGGCTCGTTTAAGCAATCTGTTCTCGACAAGCAAGGAGTCCCATTGAGCCCATAACGCCTTGAAAGTCTGATATTTCCGACCAGCCAGATCGTTCCATCCCATCTTCTTTCCATCTGAGGAGTGGCCCAATATCCTTGTCTTCCTCCTGGCCCTTTCTACACCGAGCTGTTGTCCATTCAACATCTTCTATGATTGACTTCTTCCTGCTCAACCTCGTCGCAGTGTATGCAGTTCTGATAAGCGATCAATCTTGCAGGCTTCGCTTCAATGCAACGCTGATTCAGCTTGAACTCTTCATTTCCAAGACGTAGGACTTGCCTCACTGGATCAATTGTCAATCCGTGGCGGCTTATCAAATCCATTCTCAAAATGAAGTCATCTTCCATGCTAGCCACAAGAGCCCGATGTCTTATTCTCAGCTGACCAATACAGATCTCTACCGATGCTTCGCCCATGATCGGCGTCGACTCTCCAGTTACAGTTTTCAATCTGATCGTTTCGGGTATAACTTCTACATCTTCAGCTCTGACGAGTCCTTTACGTACTATTAATACCTCAGCGCCAGTATCGATGGTGACTGCTGCTGGATTTGCATAGATCTTTTCCGATGTAGTTGAACCACTACCTCTGGTGAAACTTCTTATTTTCACTTCGCTGATGACCTTATTCTCACCTACGAACACCGAACCCATTCCTTAGAGTACTGGCTCCTTTTAGATATCGGTAAGGTCTCTATTGTGTGCTTCTTCTTGTAACTGGTAATGAGTACGACAATCACGTTTGAGGTGTCCCTGACGCCCACGTGTATAACAGTCCATGCTTTTCTTAGCAGGCGCACCGTTCTCTCGTCCTTGAGCTAGGCCATTTTTTATTTCATGTGATAATTGTTCTACAGCTTCTCTATCTTGTTGTTTTCTTCTTTCTCTGGTTCTGCTACGCTGAGTTTGTGGCACGTTTTTGAGGAACTGTACCGAGCCTCCACTTCCAGCGCACGAATCAAGGCATCAGATCATGTCTGATACCTTGATAGTTGTAAGACCTTCTTAACTTCAACGTCGCGAATGCTATCTATGAAGGTTTCTGTCGCAAGCCTCTCTTGAATAGTCGGTGGTGGTTCGGATTATGCTAGATGTACCATTTTTTTGACATCTGCTGCAAATTCTTGTAGAGATTCCCCCGCTTTTGTATTGTTGTTTTACCATAGTGTCATCACTTGCTATATATGAATAGAATTTGCCATACTGTTTTCAGAACACAACGTAGGTTCCCTGTTTTATAAATTATTCACACATTTTTATAACAAAATAATGACTTTCGTGTTATATTTTTGCAGTTGTTATAATTTTTTTTTAATACCAAAGTGCATTTAATAATCGACTCTTTGGTCGTTTATAATCACTAGATTAATCGTTTTAGTTACGTATTGTATTTTTTGCAACAAAATGTAAAATAAAAACATTAAGCAAATTTGCTATTTTTTTAAAATTCGTTTGTAACGACGTTTCTACGGTTTGTTTTCCTCCTCTTCAGGTCTACCAATAGTACTACCACCGACCAGCTCATATTTTTGAGGGAGCGATTTAGATAAAAATAAGTGTGGAATTATTAAACCACAAATAAAGTACTATGAACTTTTTAGTGGGGACAAATATCAGTTTCTGTATGTACAATGTAATGTGTGTGTGTGTGTACCCAGAAGAATTTCGGAGAAATTAGATAAATTGTTTTTGTTTGAATTTAAGCAATCAGTTCTAAGTTTTAAACTGTAAAATTTTGCTTTGTCTTTTCGAAGACCTGCACGTATAAGGTTAAAAATTGATGTGTGTTAATATAAGTGCAGAAGTATTTAATTTTTTACGTACATTTTGAACAGAATATATTTACTTACTTTGCAAAAACTTTTGGTGGGTATGGTCAGAGAAATTATTTTGATCAGTGTTTTATCATCTGAAGAATACTCTTAAAATAATGTCTAAAATTCACAACCAAAAGTAGTTTCCAATAGTTGTCAAATTATAGGCAGAAATGGGAAACCTAGTTTTTCATATCCTAGAAAACATGAAACGTCTAGAAAACATACAGCTAGCCATGCGCCAAATGCACCCTATTGCAATACTTCCGTAGTATGCACTATGTAATTCAAAGTAGATAAAACCGGAATTTTATTATGGAAAGGGCGTCAAAAGCATGGAACTGTAGAAAAAGTTAATATATAACGCGCATACCCGCATTTGTTTGCTTTAATATTTCTTTTTTTTTTTGGTGAATTATGTACATCGATCATCTTCTGAATGGTAGTATAAAAAGTTGATCGATCAATTACATTGCACACATAAGGAAGACATGAAAAAAAAAAACACAAGATTGATTATCATCATATAATAATAACAATAACATTTTGCTTCCAGAATAAAAAAAAATATATAAATTGTTTTTTAACCATCCTGTACATGTAAGTATTCCAACAAATGAAAATATATCGTGCGATCGAAAATAAAACGAATTGGAGTTGGCGTTGCCTGTCAAACTTTAGGTGGCTCCGTTTGAGGTAAATCCGTGTCAATATAACTTTTTAACCAAGCACTTTTTGCGAATTGAATTTCTGTTCGATGTGTTTAATTTTAGACATAACCAGTTGACAGACAGATCAACTGACAGAATAATGTAGTGTGCAGGAGTAGCTATACAAATGGTCTCATAGCAAACTGTGATCCTTTTTATTTTCAATCGAACAGTCACCAACGACATTTGATTTCAAGGCATTATTTTTTAAACAAAACATTTATAAACAAATGGAAGTTGGTCGATTTTCTGTTAAACTTGTTAAAATGTCAAGTATTTATGGAACAGTCATCAAAAGTTTTCGGGGACAGTGCCGGAGTGTGGGTGATTAAAATATGACACGTTAATGAATTTATAAACACAGGCTACACAAGAATTTAAAAAAATATATAGTGATCTTAAAAAAAAGTTGGATGTAGTAGACAAACACAAAAAAATTATAGGTTGTCAAAACACATTTATAGAAGAGTCAGCGAAAAATGTTTGTCAATTATATAAAATAATTCTTTTTTGTTCAACGATTTCAAACGGGAACACAATGTAGTGTTTCTTTAACAGAAGTTGGTCTGCTTCATTAAGTAACAGCGCATGTAACCACAGTTCTAACACCGCACTAAATTCTCCCGATTAAGCACATGTACCAGGTTGGCAGCATACAGCACAGCCCAACACACTCGAAGAACACCCCCAGGGCCCGAATTCTTCCCGACCCCACCTCGTACCGCAGAAAAATCGTTTAATTTGCGGCATGCATTGTAGGAGTTTCTTCGAAAATTAGATTAGCAGCAGCAGGTATTCGTTTCGTGTAATCTCGTATCTGATGCACCCGATAAGAGTGCAGTGGGTGTGCTGAACTGCTGAGGGATTGTCTAATTAAAAGTAGATTTTTGGTATTCGTTTTGTATCCAGCAGTAATTATTGTCAACGCCAAACACAATTATTTCCTTCTGTCACTGACACTCAATTGGATTTCCATCGAATGGAAAATTAAAATTGTTAATCACGGACCCGTGTAATTAATCAAATGCAAAACGAAATCAATTTCGGATTACTGTCGTCCATGCATTCCGCCACATACAATTAAATTTGTTATTAGTTTTGGCGGCGGAAGTTTTTGCGAGTTGTTGGAGGAATCTCTTTTGCTAGGCGAGGGCGTCGGGAGCGAGGATGTCACAGAGTACAGCTCGGGACCTA